AGTTATCGACTATGTTCCACGCACGCGGAATGAATGTTGATCTTCGTTTGTTACTCTAAGGCATGAGTACGTGTAACTTGCAATACGAATTCGCTTTTACTTCTAGAAAGTTCTTCGCCATGAGCATCTGCTTGCATGGACCCGTATAAATGGAAATGCGCATGAACGGAAGCTCTATGCATATTCATATTTCATTTCAATGATAACCAAAGGGCAAACTGTTTTGTGTGAGACAACTTCAACATGGCGTCCAATATTGATTTTCGTTTCATGGTTTACTGACAACCTGCACATGTTCCCGTCGTTTCATATTCGTGCGAAACTAAGTGCCCCTCTCCCAAGTGATAAATCTTTAGAGAAGAACATGCAAGTTTATACAGTTGTTCTCACCATGCTTAAATTCGAATGTTCAACCCTACTAAGACTTTCGACTAGATCTGAATGAAGCTCTGTCGGTATGCCCAGCGGGTGGTGAATTTTTCACATTGTCTTGACGCCGTTAATTGATGCAAATCGTTAGGAAGTGGACCATCTTTCCTCTGGACTTTAGAGAGCTTAGCTACTTCCATATGCATAACTGTAGGCAACTTTTAGGTGGGATGAGGTGGGGGACACATAGCTATTTTTAATATGGAAATATTGGAGAAAAATTTCTTACATTACCTTCGACAGCTACCTCGTAAAATTCATTGATTACGACTTTGCAGTCACCCAGCTAGATTTGCGAATGTCTCATTCTTTCCCTGATTAGCCCTGGCAACTACATGTTTACCTCCAGCGTTGACAATCACACGGTGGAGTTCATCTGTCGCACACATAATGCTGCAACCGTACTTAAAGGCTTTCACGTAATGGCTGACCATATGCTGGAAAGTGGAAAGTAAACGGCTTATTTCCTCATATTACCTCGAATGTACTGAGAATATGTCCTTCTGTCGTAGCAATCGTATCGATCATAGTCTTGTTATCTCTTTGGCAGTCTGAATTGTAAGAAATATGAATATTCGCATATCAAATTTTTTGAAAGAGAAGAAGGTCAGAGAAGATAAATTGATTTCCATGCGTCAGCTACTTGAAAAACTCGTCACAGGCGGCTGGTTGGCAAGGATTCAGATCAGATCGTTGGTAGATCAGATCTTCAGGAGAAAACGGAAGCTCTTAGTGTTCTTAGCTTTAGTCTGGGTGTTGGCGCCAGACTCACTGAACTTGCAGCCATACGACTTTTGAGCAATTAGTTTTTCAATGTCGCCATTTTGAACAACAGTTATTTTGACTCGCTTAGGCGACGGCGCGAGAAACAATTATTTACCTCAAAAATAATAGAAATGTTGTCTAGTCAACTCTGAGCTACCGTGAGCTATCCCTCGTTCAGATTACTCTAGTTTACGATTCCTCAGGGACTTGATTTCTTATGGAGCAGATTGATTTTCAAAGGTTAAGGGACTGCAATGAGGTCGATAATGAAGGTGGTGCGAAAGCGATCGAAGTAAGACTGTCTGCGGTCGTTTGAATCGTCTTAAGTAACTGTTTAAAGTTGGCCCTCGCAAATGGAAAATAATATCCTAAAAAGATTATAACTGAATTATGTAAATAAAACAAGTGAATCCTAAACTTAGTAGTAAACTATCGTAATTTTATTTTCATTCTCATTCTTACTATCTTGATGGATACGCTATATGCTTGGTATCATTATAAGATCACTCAAGTCTTAAACTTTGGACAAGACTTGCTCACAATCTTACTACATGCAAATAGTGCAGCCCTCGTGGCGCTAACCAGCACCTTCACCTTCAAGGATTGAAGCAGCGTAAGAACCGCCCCCTTGCTTCTAGTCGTCTAAAGGGCAAGGGCCCTTGTTCGGCCCAACCTAATGATGCGGCTCTGCATCCATGCACTGCAGGTGCTCAAATACCATGGAACCGTGACCTGCTTCATTGGTCCCCTAGGCGACTAGAAGCAACGAAACAGTACCATTACGCCGCTGCGTTCAGGTATCAAAGGAGAAAGTGGTATTTCTGTTAGCAGCGGTATCGATAACTAGCAGTATGCTAATAAACCCATAAGATCGGGTTTATTTCTGTGGATAAATCTCCGAGCTATATACTATCATTCACTTATCATTCTTCAATCAACTGTGTAGCGTTTTCTTTCAGCAAGGACGATCAGACGATTCATTTTTAATGGCAATGAACAATGGTTAAATAAATTATGTGGCATAAACGGAATTGCAGGTTTTCTTCATTTCTGATCAGGCGTTCGCGTACGCACTTGGTTCGTCCACTTCGTCGCGCCACTCGACATCCTTACTATGAACTGATTGACAGATGCATTAGTGGAAGAAGGCATCAATGAATTAGTGTATTAGTGAATGATTGAATGAAATGACGAATGCATCAATAAGTTGATTG